TTGTGAGAGCGTTTCAGTTGTAAGTAAATTGTAGGGATGTCAATGTGACGGTTAAATGTTTGTTTTGTCTAAACTATGCCACGCTTCTTTAAACTCACGGGAATGTTTAGTAGTTGCTTGTCCTAAGCATCTCGTTTGAGGCCAGTCAAATTTGTGTCCGTTGTCGTCTGTGTGTTTAGCTGAAAGTGAGCTATGGTCGTGTCTGTTGATTGCGTTCTGGTGTTCTGTTAGTCTTGTCTGAATCTTTTTAGAAGTTTGTCCAATGTACTTATCCGGACAGTTTTTGCACGGGAAGATATAAATGGCGTTATGTTTATCCGTTATATGTGTCTTGTCTTTGTGTTTAGTGAAGTTGGACCTAAGTTTGCATGTTGGTTTGTGTGCAACGTCAATGTTGAAAGGTCGGAGGAGTCTAGATGCCATTTCTGATGTAGTGTGTATGTAAGGAAGTGTAATCCTCGTTTTTGTTTGGTTAAGTCGGTCCGTGTTAGTTTGTTGTTTATGTTGTAGCACCTTATTAATGAAGTCTAAAGGGTAGTCATTTTTGTAAAAAGTAGAGTATAAATACTTGCGTTCGTCTTGTTTGGATTGATCAGTGTTACAATGTGTGTCAATTCTGTTGAATAGAGTCTTTATGCAACTGACTTTGTGTTGTGTTGGGTGATTGCTATTATAATTTAAAATTTGATCAGTGTGTGTTTTCTTGCGATAAACTTGTGTGGTTAAATGCCGTTGTCTGCTTTTGTTATTAGGATGTCAAAAAATGCGAGTTTGTTGTCATGTTCTTCCTCTTTGGTAAATTTGATGTTCTTAGTGGTGTTGTCAATTGTTAGTCGGATGTCGTCTGTTTTGTCCTTTTTGACAGTAGCAAGTACCGGACATCCCTACAATTTACTTACAACTGAAACGCTCTCACAAATCTCCTAATTCATCTTCATTAACCTTTAACCCACCCTCAACTTTCTTCCCTACACCGTCTCATGATAACAATAATCACCCGCATTCGATAGTAACTAATGGCAACCAACATACTGAAATCCATCAACCAATCAGACGTTCCCACAGACTTCAACAACGTCAACAACAGCGCGAAAATTCAAATGATCAATGTTTCTGATGAAGGCTCGAAGTACCGAGTTGAAAGCTCAAAACAAATTATTACAATCCGGAGAACACTGTATAATCTTGTAAAAATTATAATTTAATAAAATGCCTGGATTACAAATCTTCAAATCTATTAAATATATATATATATATATATATATATATATATATATATATATATATATATATATATATATATATATATATATATATATATATATATATATATATACTATACATTATGCCTAAGCCTTTATGCGCACGCTCACTGCATTTCATAGTTTAAAAACGGCGATAAAGCACATAAGTAAAGACATTGTAGCCCCTTCAAGGAAAGCTCAAACAACGGCAATATGTATATATATATATAAATGTTTCTCAACGAAAATATGCCATCATCTTTGCTCTCTCGTGGATCTTGCGACGTCCCTGGCCTATAAACTTTTACTGTATAAGAAAAATGCGGTTACGGTTTTCACGAAGAAAGTATATCCGCTGCTCAAACAAGCTACCAATAGTCAATATGGTTATTTACTGCTAACGAGCCATTAAATGCACTTCTAATGACCATATTATGGTACGTTTATTTACACAATGGTTGAGAAAGTTGTCCTTTCGGCAAACTGTCCGTTCGGCAAAATGTTCGTTCGGCAAAATGTTCGTTCGGCAAAATGTTCGTTCGGCAAAATGTCCGTTCGGAAAAATGTCTTTTGGCAAAATTTCTTTCGGCAAAGTGTCTTTCGGCAAAGTGTCTTTGTACCTTGGAAATATATGTGCAATTGCAGTGCGAGGGGTTCTCTTTCAAGTGTCAGTGCGATGGAAGCGATACAAACTGATTAAGTTAAAATGGCTTTAGTATTTCCATACCTCAACCATAAAGATGGCTTTAAAACAGAGTGAGGAATTTCGAAGAAGCGAGCATGGTTGCAGTTTGTATTTGAATGACAACGGTCTGGCCGCCAAAGCAATTCAAAACGTGTGGTTCACAGCGTCAATACTAATAATTCCGCTTTGATAGAGAAGTCAACGAAGTGGTTAGAACTAGTTCGCCTGTAACTTCAAAAATGTGATAAACGTCGAAAGGAATAAGGTGAGTTATTTATATAATAATGCGAGAATTATAATGTATAAAATTAATGGTAGTTGTCTGCGATTGTCATACAATACGACCGCTTTAATATTGATGTTGAGGGTATTAATTCTCTGAGTTGTCATTTGCAGTCTCAGTTAAGAAAACTTGCGTGCGTTTTGATTTAATGATTCACAAGTAGCTTTGTCTGATTTATCTTGCGTTTACCGTTTTCATTTCAATTATAAAGACAAGTATTTTGGAACCTAAGCTGGAAAATCGGAAATGGCTGTTCAGAGCCCAACCTCAGCTATATCATATACATGCAGGTGTCCCCCAAAAAAGTACCCTCTACAGGTATAGAAATTAGTACCCTATTGTTATATTTGAATGCCTGAGTACTATGCTGAACACAAGAGTGCGTAAACACAATTGAATTGAATTTTTAATTACCAGTCGCATAAAATCCTGTGCTTAACAACAATAGGATAAATTTCTATAGAAGGTACTTTTTTGGGGACACACTGTACATATAGTAATGCAGGATTTTGTGTATTCTATTCAAATTAATATTACGCACAACAACACAGACAACAATACTTCATTCATTAAATTTCAATTGCAAACGGTAATTAATGTTTTCATATTGATTACTGAACGGTGGAGTTTCAGTTTGTATTAGGACTCTGTGTAAGATGACATACAGGGTGTCCCCAAAAAACGAAAACTATTGAAATCACCAATAACAATTTAATTGTTAAAATTTGAATGCCTTAGCATTCTGTTGGTTAATGCCCACGAGTGCATAAATGATTGACATAAGTAGATGTTATGCGTAAAGAAACTATTTAAGAAGCTGCTTAAAATTCCCAAGAGCAGAAAATCGCGCACTTTACAAGGAGATGTTCTTAATTAACTAAATTTTAATACATGCACTTTGTCAATATTTTACGCATCATTATGTTCAGCTTTTGGGTAGGGCATTTAAATTTTAACAATAAGTGATTTCAATAGTTTTCGAGTTTTTTGGGACACCCTCTTCAGCATACACCAGGGCGAAGGGAGAGAGGGCGTAGAAACGGCCATACATCGAGCGGACCCATCCGTGATGCGGGCTTCGCGGGGGGTAAGACGTTCTAATTGTAAACAAATATGGCTACGCGTATATGACCCATCAGAAGGTATGCTGAAACTATTGCTTTATAAAATATTACTTGTGTAAAATTTATATGTTTTTGTTACTTTCAGCTACTACAAGAAACTTAAAGATAAGATTTAAGTAACAAAAAACTTTATTTCGGGTGTTATTTTATTTATATACTCTGTTTAATTTGGTGGTTAAAAATGGCCGTCGAAATGTTGTCCGAGAGTGTTAGCGCGCACTGCTTCCTGATAAAAAAACAATGATTTCCAAAACCTAAATTATAATTTGTTATTAAGTTATGATGAAAACCTTTGCGTATACAAAATTATAGAGTGAGCAAACATGAGACAGATAGGTTTTGAACCCTTCAAAGTTCGAGGTCGAATTGACAGTTGAAATAGTACCAAACTCCAAGCTGAAACGTGCAACTAAATCGTGTATATTTTTGTCAATTTTGTTCGCTGGCTTTGTTAAATTCACTTGCAATGGCTCGACACAAGTTACAACATACGAACTGGGCAGAGCCCATGAAAGAGCTATCCATACCCACACAGTCATAAGTCATTCAGCTTCCTTGCTATTTAGAAATTGTTGCCCATTATAGTTGAAGAAGAATTGCTATTGTATGCGCTTGTTTGTACTTCCTTTCCTAAAAAAGTCTACAATATTAAGGCTAAATAGCAGAAAAATATGACCCAATAATCCATGCAATTAAAAATATCTATCAAATTAACTTCAGAAATCATGATTTGAGGAATTATATCTATTCAGGCAACCCATAATTTAGTGACAGGTCTTGGCAAGGTGAAAGCTGAAAGGAACCCTTAAGATGGGTGCACTACAAAACTATGTTGACTGAAGTTTTGGAAACATTTAACTAAATTTTGAAGGATTGACTTGCAAACTGTGATTCAGTATCATGGAATTTTACACTTCTGGAGAAGTTGTGGCTCTGTTAGTGCCATTTCTTTCATTGTTTATAATCTTGCTTTTAAGCATTGCTCGCTTATAAAATCTTTCAATTCCTTAGGGCCTGTTTATATGATCCCGCCTAGATGGGACGGGACGTTTTCATCCCGCCAAGACAGGATACTCGCCTAGTGTTTATATGGACAAAATACATTGCCGGGATGAAACCATTCGGTGCTTGACGTCATATTTTTGTTGCAATAAAGGCATTTACGCATGCTCAAAAGGGGAAAATTCATTTCGCCTAACCGGGATGAAGTGTTTATATGGGAATTTTTCATCCCGGCTAGGCGGGATGAAGTGTTTTTATATGGGAATTTTTCATCTCGCTTAGGCAGGATCCCAGCATCTGTTGCCGAAATCCAGTCTAGGCAGGATAAGTGGCGGGATCATATAAACACTCTTTAGCATTTGTATTACGAGCGGGATCTCGGTAAGCATCCCGTCCCGCCTGGCCGGGATCATATAAACAGGCCCCTAATCTCATCCCATGATACTGAATCACAGTTTGTAAGGCCCCATTTACATGAGACCAGGATGAAACCAACCTGGAATGAAAATTGAAATTGCATGTCAACATGTTTACATGAGACCAGTATGAAAATCACAAAATTTTCAATTTATTCCCCTTGCCAGGCAATTTTCTTTTTTAGATGACTTTTGTTAGCATGTGTTGTTCACTTAATTGTTCCAATGTCAACATTCCAGTCTGAATTCATACTGGTCTGAGTCAGTTGGCTTGGTCCAGCAGGCGGAATGACTTGAGACCTCATACATGTAAACATCTATTATATATAATATAATGACCAAAACGAAATGGTCCCGGTTAATTGACTTTGTTCCAATCTCATGTGAACTGGACCTAATAAAATCCTTCAAAAGTTGGCTAAATTTTTCCAAAACTTCAGTCAATATAGTTTTGTAGTACAACAATTTCTAAATAGCAAGGAAGCTGAATGACTGTATGGGTATGGACTATGGATAGCTCTTTCATGGGCTCTGCTCAGTTTGTATGTTGTAACTTATGTCGAGCCATTGCAAGTGAATTTAACAAAGCCAGCGAACAAAATTGACAAAAATATACCCGATTTAGTTGCACATTTCAGCTTGGAGTTTGGTACTATTTCAACTGTCAATTCGACCTCGAACTTTGAAAGGTTCAAAACCTATCTGTCTCATGTTTGCTCACTCTATAATTTTGTATACGCAAAGATTTTCATCATAACTTAATAACAAATTATAATTTAGGTTTTGGAAATCATTGGTTTTTTATCAGGAAGCAGTGCGCGCTAACACTCTCGGACAACATTTCGACGGCCATTTTTAACCACCAAATTAAACAGAGTATATAAATAAAATAACACCCGATATAAAGTTTTTTGTTACTTAAATCTTATCTTTAAGTTTCTTGTAGTAGCTGAAAGTAACAAAAACATATAAATTTTACACAAGTAATATTTTATAAAGCAATAGTTTCAGCATACCTTCTGATGGGTCATATACGCGTAGCCATATTTGTTTACAATTAGAACGTCTTACCCCCCGCGAAGCCCGCATCACGGATGGTCCGCTCGATGTATGGCCGTTTCTACGCCCTCTCTCCCTTCGCCCTGGCATACACTATACACAGTTGCTCCTGAGCTGGTGCTTCATCAATATTTTTTTGCCATCTCAAATTTTATATTTGATTTTTAACCATTAAGCTACAAATTTCCCAAATATACCTTATTTTATTCTGTCTAACGCCAGATAATTTTGATTTTATTTGCCAAGGGGATCTTATGAGGTAATTTTACCTATATCAATGGCCAATGGGATAGTCCTGAGTATATATCTAAGAGTGAAAATATTGATTATTAGTATTTTTGCATATCAAATGAGCTTTCGCGCGTTCTGATTGGCTTGTTGACTAGTAAATCTGACGCATTATTTACCACCTGACTAGTAAATAATGCTTTTCAAAAGCATGATTCGGCAAAATTGGTTTCAAAATCGACGAAATATTGAAAAATCGTCCCCAGAAAACGAAAAAAGCACAATGAATGTTGTATTTAACTCTTTCTCGTCAAGCCGGTTTCGCATTACATTACGACTTAATTTTTCAAAAATAAATATCTCGGCGAGTATTTACCCCCCTTTTAAATAAATGCCACCATTGAAATCCTCACAAAATAACCTTTCGAACGGGGGGTCAAGTGCCATCAAAACATTACACAAACCGAAACAATCATATATTTATACTCACCGCTTCGCCAAACATTCAAACGAGAAAAAACAGTAAAACTTGAATATCTTCTAAACTGTTCGTCATTTTTTGGAAGGCTATATGTGTAAAATACTCTTTGTATTCAGGCGCTTTCGTGTAGAAAGTTTCGTATGAATACGGCGAGTAGAAATATTTATTTTGAATTTTTCAAGGTATCGGGTTTTACTCGCACGCGCTTGTATTACGTAATACTTGGCCAATAAGGAGCTTGCTTTAGCTGGGATGACGTCAAACTCACACGTATCGGTGCACTTTGACCTGTAGAATCCATTTCTGGCATTTCCAGAGTCACGCGATACAAGCGTAGCATTGTTTTGACATTTTTAAGTCATACTTCCGGTTGGGATTATCTCACAGTCAGACCAGAAATGGAAATATGGTAATAAAAGATTCAAATTTGATGATACAATCTTGAAAATAACACTCTAAATAGTGTTTTTGATAGCGATTCGAACAAGACTATTACAAAGAAGATACGGCCGAAGCGGCCGAAGTTATGTTCGGCGAAAGGTACGGCCAGTCTACATTGTTGTTCAGACAATTGCGTAATTTGATAATATACAATCTCGCTTGACTTCCAAAGGCCATAAATTGTGATAATGTTGAAATCGACTAAATCTATCGTTAGGAACTAGGAGATTTCGACACGCTGAATCGAATGGTGATATTTTCATCTACATAGCATGCACCGAACCGAAGATATGAATCTGCAAAGTCGTATTACAGCAGTGTATTGCGTTTATAGGGTCGTGACAGGAAAGAGTCTTGAAAGGTAGGATTTATTATTTTACTGCATCAAACATATTCACGGACAATTTAAAACTTATTTAAAACTCCGAAACATTCTCTTCAAACAAATAGCAAAAACTATTCCGACTGTTGGGCAAAACCTTGCCTTCATGATATTCTTTTAAAACAATTTTGTTTTGTATCCTATATACATATCTCAATTTGTACGATACTATTTATTTTGATATTATGTCATGTTTTCATTGTGCTGTATGTTTTCGAAGCTTGTAAAGTGAAAAATGTATTAAAACTTTATTTCGAGGCATTTGTTGATTCGAGCAATTGTTTTACATTCCACTTTACCAAATTTCTCAGCCATTTCCTGAACAAATTAATAATAAACAGAAACTATTTTTGGTGAAAAAGTCTGGTGAAAAAGTCATTCCATCATTGTGTTTATATTCTAAGCAGAAATCGAGAAAAACAGCTTTGTAATAAAGCAATAAAGTCACACAGGAAGCCATTTTGAAAGCGTGCGTGTACAAGAAACACTGCAGCACTAAAACAGTTAAACCGTAAAACCGGCTGAAAACAGTTTTAATTCTGAATTTTAATTTTACTGATATTTGGATATCTTGTTTTATTCATTAAAAATTTATACTAAAACAATTATTCGCCTCAGGTTCAGTGATTACGGTGAAAATTCACCTCGACTTTGTCTCGGTGAATATTCACCGGTAATCACTTTGCCTTCGGCGAATAATTGTTAATTATTTATATAATGTTCACATTATAAAATTGCCAAACATAATTCTATTTCGCAACTATGTCAAAAGATAAAGTAAACTTAATTAATAAAGTGCTTACTGCAACACCTGATAGAATCTCATTTTGAAGTAGAATAATTGCCACATGTAGTGTTATAAAGGTGAGATGGCACACCTCTTATCCGTCCTGGACAAATGACCCATTTGACACAGGTAACACTATAACTAGAAAATGCAAGCATGCAAAAACCCCTCGCTTTGCTGACAAAACCATTGTATTTTCCGAACATGAAGTATTTAAAGTAGTTGCCATGGTAACACGATAATTTTGTTAAGAATATTTTTACAAATGAAAAATCTCCTAAAAATAGCACTCTTAATTACAAATTTTCAATTCTCCAAACATATATATGTTAAGTATGTTATTATACGTAATATAAGTTTCAATTTAAGGTAAAATTCAATTCCTCAAACGCTTCGCAAGACGTTTTAAACTAAACTGCCTATAATTGAATTAAAAGGCTTTATCGAAAAACTTTGAGTTTGAAATAAAATTATTTCAACTTCTCGCATTCAAACAACTTTGCTTTCTTTTTTAAAATAATAAAAAAGGTTAATCAATAAAGAAACACTGAAATTATATGCTGTCTTTTTCATTTAAAATATGCGCAACGATCAGCTTCAAAGCCGTTTATATAAAGCGAACTATTAACACATCAATATTTAAAACAAACCTATACCTTCGCTAACGTCGGTGCCTTTATTCCCTTCTTTTAGTAATTCTTTCTTTCTTTAAAAAGCTTTTGAAATTCACAAAATCTTGCAAAAATGAAATATATTTGCAAGAAATCATCATTCATCATGCAATCATCAAATCAAAAAATGTTTGCTATTTCGCTGTCGTCATGCAGTCGTTATAATGCAAACTTTAAATTTGACCAATCAGTGTCCGCTATTCATGACAGTCCGCCATATTTTTGAGACCAGTGAGGCTGACCACCTCCCGAAACTTCGTTGGTGACCCACGCCCGCGATCATTGATGAACTTTAGATTTCGCTAATGCTTTCGTTTCCCCGGGTGTAAATAGCCGGGGGGAATTAGTACACTCGCCCCGGGCTTACGCCCGGAACGGAGCTGCGCGCCGTTGGCTCGGGGATGAAGTAACTTTTCTTTCTTGAAATGGCGATGTATCGATATGATTTTTCAATTGCAAAATGCAATTAGATTGTACTGTAGCAGTGATTAATTATATATCTAGTTAAGGGACACTTACTCAATGGCTTCCCGGTTAGATACTGTGCATACTCCTTTTGAAGTAGATTAATTGCCACATGTAGTGTTAAGGTGAGATGGCACATCTCTTATCCGTCCTGGACAAATGACCCATTTGACAAAGGTAACACTATTATGAAGTAATTTTTCTTTCTTGAAATGGCGATGTATCGATATGATTTTTCAATGGCAAAATGCAATGAGACTGTACTGTAGCAGTGATTATTCACTGCAC